GTGACACTGAGCTGGATAAAATACATCTGTCACTATTGCATTCATCGCCATTGCCTTCTACAACACATCCGGCCCGGGTGTCATTTCTTGCTGAGCTCGCTGAATGACAAACATCAACATTTACCAGAAGAAAGGAATGGATTGTGTAATGATTAGCAGATCTCAGGACCTTCATTCCTAGCAGGGTTCTGTAATAAGATTTACATATGTTACATCTCATGATGTTCCTCACCACAACAGGAGAGGAGACGAGACGATTACATTTTCATAAATGCTGGTTTATTGCAGGTGCTTTCCAGCAGGCTACACTTACTTCACCCATCCTTATTGTCAATCATAAACCTTCGAGACAACAGACAGCGACAGCTAGCCCAAAATCTCTCCATGTGATCATTCTACAAATGACATCTCACTGCGTAACCACCTAAACCTCCTGGCACATACATAAGGTTCTATTTAGGGTCAGCCCACCTAAATAGGTATTCCAGTTATACCCACTGGTTTCCTTCCTTTACCTCTTGGAGATGTTGGGCTGAATCACTCCTGGCTTCTTATACCTCTTGCAAATGTTGGGTTAAATCACCCCCTGGATTCTTATACCTCTTGGAGATGTTGGACTGAATCACTCCTGGGTTATTATACCTCTTGGAGATGTTGGGCTAAATCACTCCTGGATTTTTATACCTCTTGGAGATGTTGGACTGAATCACTCCTGGATTATTATACCTCTTGGAGATGTTGGACTGAATCACTCTTGGATTATTATACCACTTGGAGATGTTGGACTGAATCACTCCTGGATTATTATACCTCTTGGAGATGTTGGGCTGAATCACTCCTGGATTATTATTATACCTCTTGGAGATGTTGGGCTGAATCACTCCTGGATTATTATTATTATACCTCTTGGAGATGTTGGGCTGAATCACTCCTGGATTATTATTATTATACCTCTTGGAGATGTTGGGTGGAATAACTCCTGGATTATTATTATATCTCTTGGAGATGTTGGGTGGAATCACTCCTGGATTATTATACCTCTTGGAGATGTTGAGTTGAATCCATATCCCCCCTCCCCCCCCCCCCCCCC